ACCGCTCAGCTACAGGTACTCCTACACAGCCGGCGGGCACAGGGGGCTTCCCAAAGGGCGCTGTGTACCCCGGCTCTTCTTCCAGAAGCCCCAAGAGCAGCCTTGCTGTGACCCCACCTTCCTGACCTTCACAGAAATCTGAGCACGCCAACACTGTCACCAGGAGCTGATTTGGCAATCGGCACTGGGGAACTGAGGTTTGTTTTGGAGAAATGAAGCCCCCCATGCGGGGCACACCACGTTTCCTTGACCACCAGGCTCCCTTCAATGCAGCACAACCAGGCTCTGCCCTCCAACCACAAAATACAGCCACTTATCAGCTACCAGGTGACCTTCTGCAGGTCAAGCTCCACCACCCGCAGAGCCACCAGTGGCACTAGAAAATCCCTAGCAGGAGGTTGCTATGGAAGAGCTCCCTAGAGCCGGGCTATTCCATTTATTCAGGAACATTGGAAAAACAGGGGAAAGCAGAGAAGCCCTAAAGTTTTCTGCCGAGACACAGTTACTCAGGGCAGCCAAAATTCAGGGTTGACTGTGAAGAGCTACAGAAGGGCTTCACAAAATCCAGCGAGTGAGCAGTAAAATAGCAGGCCAAGAGAACAGCCCCAACTGCACACACAGGTGCAGGCTCTAACACAGCTGACAGTGCTCGGGAAAGAGATCTGGGTCACCACGGGTGGTTCTGCAAATGTCTGCTGCCTGCCTCTTGCCCTTGGCTCAAGCCGTCACCTGATGGCCGAGTTGGTGTTACGAACTTCCTCCTCCTCATCATCATCGTAGTCATCCTCATCGTCCGAGTACTGCTGGTGCTGTTGGACTGGGACCCGGCTGCGACCCACTCCTGCTGCAAGGTCTTCCTCCTCCTGCAAAACACGGTTGCTGATGGCCTGCCAGCAGCGGGGCAAGGAGGAAGAGCCCAGTGGACACGTCCTCGGTCCAGCCGAGCACCAGGGCTTGTCCCTTCCAAGAGGAGCCAGGGGACTCTTCCCTGTGCTCGCTCAGTTGACCCACATTAACGCTAAGCTCTTTGGGCAGGTCTCTTTACCCTCCCGCCTGCATTAGTGCAAGGGCAGGCAGGCTGTAAGGCAGGGGAAGGGCTTAGACTGGCTGACAGCCATAGTCCCACGGAGGTGAGGGACTGGAATTGAAAAGCTCAGCTCAAGTCAGGCATGCTGCTGGCCTGGAGCTCCGGCCTACCTGCATTGGGGATTTGGCGTAGTTGTGGTTATCCAGGAAGGCTGGCAACCTCTGCACGATGGGGTTGGGGTTTGCTGGAGGCACCCCGTTGATACTGCTCGCTGCTGTCTTTGCCACCGGTTTGGATTTGTTGGGTGGGCTCTGCGTGGCCGCAGGGTGGCCCTGGCTGGCGGGCTCATCAGTGCCATCTGCCATACAAGCACAGCACAGCCTTTCATGACCAGCACCATCACGTTTTACTCAATGTCCTCTGCCACCCCTTGCCCACCCCACGTAGCAGAAGAGCTCTTACGCTCCACCAGACCATCGCACCCACTTCCCATTCCACTTCCAGCTGTCACAAGTGTCCCCAAGCTTAAGCCCTCCCATTTTCAACCTCCAAGTCCCTCCAACACTTCTCCCAGGCACAGAGGCATCTACCACACCCCAACGCAGTGCGCACAGAGCTGGGCTTGGAGAAAAGAAAGTGGAGCTGACCATAAAACTCCCTCAAGCTCCAGGTCAGTCAGCCATCGTCACCAGCCTGCGCTCGCTCCACGGCAGGCCAGGCTGGCTGGCTGGCAGCACCGCTGGTACAGGGCTCTACCTGGATGGGCGCTCTCTGGAGTCACAGTCTTGCTGCTGGCTGGCTTTGCCTCTTCCGGAGGCTGAGACTCCTGAGACTTCTGGGTCTGGATCAGCTCAGGCTGAGTTACTCGGATAAGCTTGAAGGCAAATGACAGATAGAAACTGAGTGCTGGACCGGGGTTACCCAAACCATATCCCTCCTGTTCAAGCACTGCAGAAGGAGAACTTGCGAGGGGGAGCCAACCGCCAAGCACCAACGCACACAATCAACCGACAACGCCACAGATAACCTCCCAGGTAAGCAGCAAAAGGCCAAGCAGCGAGGCTGGTTATCTCCTCTTCCCAGAAGACATTTCCCAAGGTCAAAAAAAAAAAAAAAATCATAAAATCCAGGGTGCCTCTACAGCCCTGACAGTAGAGCCTATTCCCACCCCAGGCTTGCATTCTCTCAGGCCTTGGGCTGTCCTACCTGCTGCAAGGCCTCCAGCACAGTCTGGCGGTTCATCTTCAGGATGTGCAGTTTGGACTCGTACTTCATCCTCCGATCAGGCACCACCGCCATCAGATTGAAGCGGATGTCGTGGTACGGCTCCCTGCAGGAAGGGACAGCAGACATCAGCTGCGAGCTGGCAGTGGAAGGCCCGTCTCCTGGCAAGGGGGGTCAGCAGGCTGCCAGCCACACCCCGCACACCTCCTGTGGGCTCTGTCCAGGCCGCGCCTCCCCTGCCCTGGTGTTGAATACCAACACACGGGAGGCTTTCCCCCCAAAACCAAGTCATAGAATCATAGAACTGCTTAAATTGGAAAAGACCCTTAAGATCATGGAGTCCAACCATTAACCTAGCACTGCCAAGTCCACCACTAAGCCATGTCCCTAAGCACCACATCTACCCATCTTTTAAATACCTCCAGGGATGCGGACTCAACCACTTCCCTGGGCAGCCTGTTCCAGTGCTTGATAAACCTTTCAGGGAAAAAGCTTTTCCCAGTATCCAACCTAAACCTTCCCTGGCGCAGCTTGAGGCCATTTCCTCTTCTCCTATCACTTGTTACTTGGGGGAAGAGACCAACCCCCGCCTCACTACAACCTCCTTTCAGGTAGTTGTAGAGAGCAATAAGGTCTCCCCTGAGCCTCCTTTTCTCCAGGCTAAACAAGCCCAGCTCCCTCAGCCGCTCCTCATAGGACTTGTGCTCCAGACCCTTCACCAGCTTTGTTGCCCTTCTCTGGACACGCTCCAGCACCTCAATGTCCTTCTTGTAGTGAGGGGCCCAAAACTGAACACAGTACTCGAGGTGCGGCCTTACCAGAGCCAAGTACAGGGGGATGATCAACCTCACGCTGGCTGAAGAAGCAGAGCAAAGTTACTTCAGCCACAACACAAAACACCCTTCATACAGTCACAGGTTGGCTGAGGTGGGAAGGGACCCGTGGAGGTCATCTGCTCCAAGCCCCTGCTCCAGCAGGGTCACCTGGTTGCCCAGGACCACATCCAGGTGGCTTCTGAGTATCTCCAAGGATGGAGTCTCCACAACCTCTCTGGGCAACCTGTGCCAGTGCTCGGTCACCTTCATGCCCAAGCATCCAAGAGGCCCAGCTCAGGACCAGAAGCACCATTCCTTCTCCTATGGCCTCGAGCTAACAGGGACGTAATCTGGCCACTCCTACCTGTGTGGCCATTTGCAGGGACTCTGCATCGCACAGAGAGTGCAACTTCTACACATGCTCTGAAGGCAGGCAAATTGCAGGCAAGAGAAGGCAAGGAGGCAGTGCACCTGCATCCTACCCAAGCAACATTCTCCACCCCCACTTCCACAACTTGTCACAGTAGAAATAATCCAGGGAAAAATGCCGAGGGGCCAGTGGCTGCACCACGGCCTGGGACATTACCCTGCGGTGGCCAGGCCGATGCGCTCCATGATTACTCTCCTGGCTTTGTCCGTCCATTCCTCGTCGTCAGCCCACGGCCCTGTGATAAGGAGACAGAGATGGACTGAGCAAAGCAGGCCAAGGCTCCTGCTTCAGACTCACAGAGCGGATCCTGCCGTCCCCACGAGAGGCAATCTCATGGCTCCCTTACATACCAGGGAGCGAGAAGGGGCCCAGGAGGCAGAAGGACCACGCTGTCAGCCCATACATGGAACCCCCTGCCTCTGCCTTCCAAAGGGAAAATGTGAGTTATCTGCAGGGCAGGAAGATGAGTTTTGAACCCTACAGACCACAAGCAATTCACAGGCTCCAGGCTCACAAAGTCCAAGGAAATCCCAGCTCCTGCTGGAATCCACCTGCCACTGGATCTGGTGCCATGCTTAAGAAACCGAAGTACATGAAGTGGGTGCTCTACCAAAGGGCCTGACAGAAGCAAAGTCCTAGAGGGGGTAAATAAGTGTCTGAAAGACAGAACTAGTCATCAAGTTGTAAGAGGAGTAACCTGAGCAGCCTGCTGGGATCTGCGTTGGGACCTTGTGCCTCAACACAGAGCAGTTATTTGGCACAAGGAGAGGGTAAGGAGGACACAAATACTGCTTGCAATACCAAGTTACTTCAGAGCTGCAGAAAGACCTCGTGACCCTGAGCAACTTGGGAGGAAAATGGCAAGGCTGGAAAAAGCAATGCAACGCATTTAGAAATAATTGCCTTCTAGACATAGGCCCCAGCACATAGGCTACAAAATGAGCTGTCAAAACTCAGGACAAATCTGGGAGCCACTGGAGTGATTCTCCACGAACATTAGCTAATGCTTAGTGGCAATGAAAATTAATAAACACATTTGGACATACCAGGGTGTCTATCCAACTGCGTCAATGAGTAGGGACAGGCGGGCTCTTACCGTGATCAATGGGATAGACCTTCAGCCCGTCCAGCTCAAACAGTCGTCCCTTGATGGGGACATAACTGACAAAATGAAAAGCCTCCATGGTTCGCACAGCGCTGATACCATTCTGCTTTTCCGGCAAGTGCCGTGGCTCCGGTCTGCGAGGGTAAGAGAGGCGAGAGGTCAATGGAGAGTCTGCCTCCTCCAGCGAAAGTGAGCTGCAAGACACCCCCTCGCTCACCTGGCATGGCTGTTATGGGCCTTGGCCAGCTCTGGGGCATTGCCGATGGCATAGCCTTTACTCTGCAGCAAAGAACAAGAGAGGAAAACAATTGGGAAGTGACAGGAAACAAAATGCTTCACCCACTGGCTCCCCACTCCCTCCCTCCATCCATACACAGGACTGGGAGAGGGACTTTCAGGCACATCCTCTGGTCTGCTGAGTTACAGGTAAAACCCAAGATGAAAAGAACACACAATTTCTGCTAAAGAAGTAATAGTTAGAGAGAAACACAGACTTCAAGATAGGTCTGAAGGTAGGAGAGAGGACTTTTGATCGCAGACTTAAAGAATGCACCTGGGCTAGGGATTAACACGCCAGAAGGCTCAGAGGTGTGCCCAGTGTAAGGGGACCAAGGCCCTGAGCAAAGCAAGGTAGAAGATGAGAGAGAAGAGGCAATACTGATGTAGCGTGCAGCCACGAAGGGCTGGAAAGCTGGCAGCTCGTTAGAGCATCACCCTGAGAGGGGAGCGAGAGGCAGATTCACATGCACCACCCGTGCACAGCCCTGCACACCTTCACCCCTACCTCAGGGCTGAATCCTTTGGTGAAATCCTTCATGCGGCTCAGCGTGGGGCCCAGGTCGACATTGTTGCAGTTCAGGAGGACGCTCAGCAGGGCATGGGTGGCACAGGAATTGGGGATCAGCTGGAGGGTGACACAAGGACCATTTTAACCAGCAGGAACAAGGCAACCCTTCAACAACCCCTCAGAGTCGACAATAATCAATTGAAAAGTACTGACGCAAGAATCACTTGCGAGAGCAGCAACTTGACCTCGACTCTCAAAGGAAGGAAGGAAGGAGGTCAGTCTCGGTTAGCGAGCCACACCATGCCCCCATGAGCATCTGCTCATAGCGCAGGCCACAGCCAGGCTCGCAGCCCTCGCTGTATTCCCTCCAACCTGGAGCTCAGGGCAGAGACTCCCAGGAAAGAGGAGCTGCCCTCAGGACCAGCAAGAGCAGTGCAGCCTCTCAGTACCATGTTGCTTCCCTGAGGTGTCACACGAGACACCGCCCCCCCCCTCTTTCCCCTCGCCTCCAGGATACCTGGTGAGCAAAGAACATGTTATTAACGATGTCATCGTCGATCACTGACGTCTCATCCACCAGGGTAGAGACCTTCCGGCGTGATCTACGCTCCTCAATCCACTTGAACAGGAAGATGAACCCATACACAGGGCTGCGGAGAGAAGGCAGCAGCTGCATTATTTTGGACAGACCACACCAGTGGGGCCGCTCTGCCCAGTGCCAGAAACCTTGTGTTTCAAACCACGGGCAGAGCAAAGACTGGGAGGGAAAGCAGAACCACCAGCCCCATCTTTCTGGAAGTGACCATCCCTGTTACCCAGGACACACTCCTGTGCTGATGCTCCAGGCTCAGACAACAATCAAGCTTGAAAACTTTGGGGTTTGACAGGTCTTAAGAGGCTCAAGACAGAGAAACGGGAGGTGAAATCCACCTCTGGACACTGACTGACCTGCAGAATAGTGCCTGACCACCAAAGGACCCCTCCTTTTCTACATATGTTGTCTTCGTTTTCAAGAAAAGATCAGACAATGGCTTTTAAGAAACGACAGTCTCAAAGCCATTTTAAACAACTGAGACAGGGAGAAAGCCCACACTGCAAGCACGCCAGCTTGGCACTGCACCTCTCCATGAGGAAAGGGAGGTGAATCCCCTGAAATACGTCCCCCACCCACCCCAGGAGGTCTTTCTTAAGGCATGAGATCACCCGTCTGCCCCAAACCTGACGAAGCACTCCTGGTTCATCGCTTACAACACTGACTGATGAGCTCACATGGGCCCTTCTGACCACCTGGCGATGAGTTCCCAGGCCCACAGACACATTCTGCTTAATAAAACTCAAACTTTCACACCTGACTTACCCTTGGCATTTGCTCTGCAGATCATAAATCTCTTCAACCTGCACTCCCTTGACCCCTGCAAACAAAGGGCAGAAGCTGGTGTAAAGCCCACCAGAAAGGACTAGGGGTAATGTCAAGCATCAAACCGACTTCCCAGGAAGGCTTCTTGTACTCACCAAAATCTTCGACGAGGAGTGTGAAGAGACCTGAAAAGGAACAAACCCAAATGGTTACTTCTGGCTGAAGAGAGCAGAGAGGAAACCTGCTGCCACCAGCCCCCAAAGGTCCCATGTGGTCCCAAGCCAAGGCGCAGCCAGAAAAAAAACACAGCAGAGTGGCACCAGGATCACGCTGACTCCCCAGCAGCAGAGCTGTTGAGCCTTGGCTCACTACGGAGGTGCTTGGGCTCCCTTCATCCCTCCATCCCCATTCACCGTCCTCTTCCTTGAGAGGACCTGAACCAACCCTCTCCTGTTGGAGGGAGATGAGGCTGGACCCACCTTCAGCATCCTGACCCACTACAGATGACCTGCCAAGAAGTAAATCCCCACCATGAACAGTGGCAGGGAGCACCTAAATGACACACGCTCTTCTAACTGGAGGGAACGTGGCTGAATAGATGACAGGATATTTTTAGAAAAGATCACCTATGTTCTTGTTAGCAGAAGACAGCCAGTGAAGGGAAAGCCATCTCAAAAACACCAGGCTGCAGGGATTCCAAGGGCCAAAAGGCTCATCTTCATCTCCTTCTCTCCTGGGGGACCAAATCCAAGAGCCTGTCCCCAGTGACTACAAAATTCCCACTACAGAAGGACATAACCAGGGATAGAGACAACGGCAAAGAGACCGAAGGATTATTAGGCATCAGCGACTGAGCAGCAGCTTCCACTATGATGCCATAGCAAAGGCAGTCAGCCCAATTTTCAAGCGGTGCCCCCCACAGAGAGTTAGAGACCTCGAGACTGGAATAATAAATCTGCTTCTTTTGCTCCCATATAAAGGCTGCTGAAAGCCTGGGAGGAAGTCCAGGGAATATCAATAAGAAGGATTCAATCCTGAGAAACATCCCTGTAAGCACAGGATTTAAGGAACCTGATGTAAGTGGCTTGATCAAGAGCCCAAGGGGCTTCCACACCAAAGTTAAAACAACTAAAACAGGGAGGAAACTTCTGGGAGCAAAAAGCCTTCGTTAATTTAGCAGAAAACATCATATTTCTTACAAAATTCTCAGTGGGAAGAAACATGCTATGGAAGTAACATGCTTCAAACCAGTGACAGCCTCCTCGCCATGCAACGCCGTTACACCAAACCCCGGCACCTTTCTGACAAGAGATGTTTTTGCTCAAAATACTTGATGCCATGGAGGGCTGTGTCGTACAGGTGACATCTACAGAGACTTCAGGCAGTGCCGCAGCCTCGCTGCCTTCTTTGCAGCAACCCCCTTACGGCAAGCGGTCCTAGCAGACCATAAGGGTCTTCAGATGCTCATTACAGCCACAGTTCTTGTTCCCTCTTTAGGTGGCGTCCGTTATGGAAGCAGGAGTCGCAGCTGTTTACAGGTAGAGTCTCCCAACTGTAAAAGCTTCCGCAAAAGTCGAAAGCCTTGCTAACTCTCCAATTTCAACAGTTACAGTCTACTGATCACAGCAAAACATGTGTGACACGAGATGTGAACCATATCACAAGCTCTGCCTCACAGCCAGCAAAGATTTGCATCAGATCAAGGCCTTGAAAATACAAACAACTGTAAATGCCGAAAGCAGCGCTGCTCACACAGGTACCACCAGAAAGACAAGACCAAGCAGGACTCCCAGGCTCGCTGTGGCTCAGCCCGGAGCACTCCCACATCTCCTAGCAGCTCTCTAGGACTGTCCGTCAGACCGGCAGGGCTGCGCTGAAGGAGATGGGAAGTCAGCCATCGTGTGTTTTTCTCATGTCTGATCAACATCACCAGGAAGTCAGAGAGAGGATGAAGCCAAACTTCTCCGAGCATACCGTGAAAGGACAAGAAGTGACGGGAACAAACTATAGCAAGAGAAATTCTGACTATACATCCAGAAAAAAACCAATTCTTCACTACCAGCGTGGTCAGCCCTGGGACCGGGGCACAGAAATCTCTTTCTTGGGCATATTCAAACTCAACCAGATATGGCCGTGAGCCGCCTGAACTACCTTTGAAGTCTGCTTTGAACTTCCCGGGGTCCCTTCCAACTGCGGTTCTTCTCCAGTTCATTTCAATATTTTATATTACCTCAGCATCCATGAAAGACATAGTCCTGCTGCTGCCATCACTCCTGGAACACCCAAAACCCCCATCCCAAATTATTTGGGTCAGCTGGAGGAAACATTCTGGTGTCCACAAGCACACGCAACACCACACCAACAGCCTGGAAGTTCCCAAGGTTCCCCTCTCCGCCCAGCAGCCGTGGCAGACAGCCCGAATCTGGATCTCCCGACCCTTCCTGACCAGTAAAGCACCGAGAGCTCCCAGTCCCAAGCCCCGTGGTGAGGGCCAGGCAGCTTATGGGATGTGCTGAAGGCCGAGAGCAGCGTGTGGGTCATTCCTAACTGCTGTCCCAGCTCCCACCTCTGCATCTGAACCTCCATGCACCTGAACAAGTGCAGCTGCGGCACGGTGAGCGCCCGCCTCTGCAGCAGTATTAGGGTAGGAATTTGGCCCAGACAGATTATCTTCCAAGGAAATAACCTTCCCTCCCAGGTGTGAGAATCCAAACCATGTCCTGTCTTCAGCATAGTCATGATGAAGAAGAAGGGAGAGGATGGGAACGATTTCGGCAATTCCCGAGTACCAGTAAAAAGAGGATAAAGAGCAGCAAAACCTGGGTTGACCGGGATACCGACAGCAGGCAGAACCCTTCGCTGAGCACAGGAAGACATAATGCCAGGGGTCCAATTTCTTCACCCACAGCCTCAAAAATACACCACCACACCCTAAAGACCAGCTCTCAGCTTCCCAGAGGACAACGCCAAATCGCACCATGGCAACTCGGACACGTTAAAACAATGCTCAGCCAATGCCCCAGCCAACACCAGCTTTGGCCCTCAAATCCTAACCCACAAAACAAACTCTGGGAGTCCACAACAGAAACCACCTTCTCCGACACAGCGGGAAGGGAACGCCTGTGACCGCCCCGCTCCTGGCTGCTCAGGTGCCATACTGGGCTCTTCAGCACCTGTCCTGGGCTACCGGGGGGAGAGGGTTTGATCCACCTGCTCAGCTGCAAAGCGATGACAGGTTCTGACACGCGTGGGACGGAGAAGCCACCCTCACGTGCTCCAAAGCGACACAGGTTGTCCTCAGTCACCCACAAAGCTCGGGGGCAACTGCCAGTCAGAGCTGCTTCTGTAGCAAGGGGCATCCCATATGCACACCTCTTCCCCGTATTTCAGCGATATTTTGGGGTGTATTTGCAACCAACAGGAATGCTTCACGCTACACCCTCATGGCATTTCAGATGTTTTCCACAGAGACCCCTGGGTTTATCAGATCGCACACACACAGAGGTGACCGGGGCACCTCGGACCCCGTGTACAAGTGCTACCAGAGCCCAGGCCCCACTCTGAGCCCTCACAATGCTCCTGCAGCCCTTTTCACCCCATCCCTGCCCTCATCCCACACCTGCACCCCCACATGCAGCCTCCTGATGTCCCCTTTTCTGTCTGCCCTACACCTTCACAGCCTTTCCCTAAGCCCTCCATAAACCCCCCTGGGCTACATCCCCCACACCGTGACCCCGCAAAGCCCCCCTTCCCCCCAGGACCCACACTACTCCTGCCCCAC